TTTCAGACCAGCTTTTCCGACTTTTCCACTTTCCCGCTCACCATCCGCAAAAAGAACCGCTCGAGACGCGCTTGAAATTGAATCTGAATCTGAAACTGTCGCTGTTGCTGTCGCGTTCTGAAGTTTTCGCAGATACTTCGTTCGGGTTCTGGTTCGGGCCGGTTCTCATTCGTTTAGGCCTTCGTGCGAAACGAGTTTGGCTTTTATGTTTCCAACTGGCAATGCCTGAAGAGAGAGAACTGTTACCAGGAACAGTTTGATATTAGCCGGCATTTTTAACAGTTTGTTTACGTCGAAGAAATGTGGCTTAAATGTTAAGTTAGCAGTTTGTGGCAAAAAAAGCAGGCCCGGTAGAGGATACGATTTTTTCAAAATTAATCTATAACACTTTACTCAAGAAGATACTGTCTCTAAAGCTCGAAACCTGAAGTCCTTGCTAAGCTATTAGATTAAACACCTTTGAAAATGGGAAATCAGGTTAATTAAAGGATTATAGCTATAATTATAGGTAATGTTACCTTGCTATTAAAACATTTAAGCCTTTGACCCAAAACACGACAAGACAAGTGTAAACCACAAATATCTTTTAGCCAAATGCTTTGTGGCCTAAATATGGAACTTTCGTTTAATTGCCATAAATTAGAAGTGCCGATACGTGTTGCATTAAAATTTCAGATCCATTCGGAGAAGGCAGCCAATCATGTGATTGACCACAGATTGGGCGACGGCGCTGAGAGGGAAACCGGAGCCAAATCAGTGGGAATTAGGGACGGTGGAATAATTTATGCTCGAATTAATAATGGCACGTAGCCAATCATTTGAATGCGATTTAATTAATTTCCCATGCCGATGACGATGACTTCACCTGGAAATGGGCCACACACTCGGTATACAGTAATGACAGGACTTAAGCCACTCGTTAGCCAAGATAGATATGCACTACTTACGGCCAGTTGTATATCAATAAAATCAAATAAATATATCGTTTGAAGACCCGGCCCATCCACCTGAGATCCCCACGCATATAAATAACCAATGATGCGGCATTTATCTGACTACCGCCCTGGCCATCATTTTTTTGTTGGCCTTTTTCGCTTCCCTCCATGCTTTATCCCTCTTCGGGCCATCAGTCTTAGCTTAGGTTCCATTTAAAATGGTTTTGGGCCGTCGTGGGGCCATTGAAACTAAAGACGAAGGAATTGTTCTTACTCGGCACTGAGAAGAACACTTCGAGTAATTTTCTAAAAGGGCACAGACATAATTATGGTGCCTGCAACATTCGCCCAGTGTACTCTTATTCCTGAGCCATTGTTCTGGGGGAGTTTCCTCCACCATCACCAAACTTGGGGCTAAAAGGGATAAACGTTTTTAGCATGGCCTGCACGATTTTTATGCTGGATACGTGTTGTTGTTGCCCCCACTTTTGCCAGCCCCCTTTTGGCTCAGAGACTCTCGGCCATGTCCGTGCGACTGTTTCGCGTCATTTGCTCTCTGCTGGATCGTAATTTTATGGCTGCCAGCAGCTTCTTGGTTCTCCAATTGCTGGGGAAAATAGCAGGCAGTCAAAGCAAACGGAAGTAAACTGAAGCCAAAAAATTCTTCTTTTTATTTGACGAAATGCTGGGTGTGCTGTGAGTGTCAGTGTGCCTTTTGCGTCGTCTCAGATCCCATTCCTCCAGAGCATTCCTCCAGAAGTTGTCAAAACAAAGCGAGCGAAACTAACAATAAGTGAGTGGAAAAGCGAATGGGGCTTGGGGCCCAACAATGGGCCAACTGCATCACCTGGCATCATACCAAGTGGCAGGCGGATCCAAGAATATCGCTTACCAACTCGTTTGGCAATTTTTCTCAATTTTCACATTGAAAACTAAGCGCCCCAGCACCGAAAGAGCCTTCAGCCATTCTCTTGATGTTGGGGCGTCCAATTTGAGTCGCCGGGAGGGGAGGCGGCAGGAGAGATGCCAAAGGATGGGGGTCACCGATGGGAGGTGTCAGCGGCACAAAGCCAACTGGATTTCCGCAGGCCAACTCGGGTAGCCGGGTTACAGGAAAAGAATGTAAACAGAACAAAGAATGCAACATATTATATTAAAAGATTGACAATAACTTGGAACTTTTTAGATTTAAAAGGATTTAATGAAAGAATTTAAAAAAAAATTATCATAAATACTAGACCCTTTTTTCTCAAAGTGCAACGGTAGTTCCTCCATCTTTGGTCTGTTGGCCATGTTGCTGTTGCACGATTGCTCTTTGGTGATTTGGATTCCCCAACACACACCACACACACACCCATACACACTCTGATATGGCGAAACAAAGCACAAATTGTTGTATGTAATTGTGCGTTGGATCCAAACACACACCTACCTCCATACACACATGAAAAAACCCATACAGGCGCATTAACACACCTGAAGCAGCCACACGAGCTCACCTGCTGCTGCGTGCGCCGAATTCCATTGCATACTTGGCGGCGCCTGCTCCAGCATTCCTGCCCCTGCCGTAAGCTACTGCTCCTGCCCCAAGCATCCTTTCCTTACCCCCCCGGGCCCCCACACTGTAAGACCCTTGAACCCTGTGCAAATAAAAAGTGATATACGCGCGACACTGAATGAATATTAATCGCTTTCTTTCTACCGCTTTCCATCCAGATGGCCATTCTAGTGCGGCACCTTTACCTTCTGCCTCGCCATCTCCGGCTTGTTCTGGCCTTTTGTTTGGACCATGGCGAACCATCTGGCCGGCTGATTTGGCAGCTTAAATGATTTCCGCTTCGGCTCGACTGCGTGCGGAATGCAAGAAAATTTATTAGTTAAGTCTGGCTGATTGTTCTTGTTTCTGGCAATGAAATAAGTGTGTTTTAACAGATTTTCATTCAATTCTGAAAATACCTTTTTTTTTGGTTTTAAAATAGGCGTCGCTTATGTTTGAACCCCAAGGGCTTAAGATTAGCACTCAAAAAATATAAGTTATATAAACAATAACAGAAAAAACCTTTCTCTATATTTTAACTTCGTTTAAGGTGTTTTGTTTTAGAGTTTCAAAAAAAAATTTTAAATAATTTAGGTAACCTTCTTTAAATATTTTCTTCCAGTGCCCTACTCCCTTGATCCCCAACTTGTCGCAAGGGTTTACATGATTTCCCTTTTTTTTGGCTCCCTCATGTACTTAGCACCTTTGAAAGGCTTCACTTCCACCAAAAAAAAAAACAAAACCTACATTTTGGGCAATTCAATTTGGTCTCTCAGTGGATTCAAAGTTTGTTTACCTTTTTTTTCGCCAGCCTTTTTATTTTTTAATGAATTTTTCGCATTAAATTTCGCAACAATGAATCGCTTTGTGCCGAGGGGTGTTCGATGTCACCAAGGTGTTTGCCACGCTTGACACCTCGTCTGGGCATCCCCCCACCCCTGAAGCCACTTCCTCTTTACCCCCTTGGGCTCCTGAGCCTGTCAGGTATTTCCGCAAACATGTTTGCATGTTTTGCCACACAGAATTTATAGTTAATTTTCAATTTTGTTGAACAAGCAGCACAGACACTAACACTCCCATACCGACTAGCTCACATAGATTTGAATGAATGGATTCCATTTTGCCGACAAACCAGGTGACAGAGGAAGGGCGGAGGGACAGGGGGTTGGCAAAAGGGGGCGGTACCAGCGCCCCGTGTCAAAGGCAAACTTTGCAGACAACAAAAGCTCATCGCAGACTGAGAAGGAAGAAGCCGATTCTGGGAAGACCTCAGGGGGCAGTACCAACTTTACGCTCTCTATTCTAATTGCCAGTACCAGTACACCCCTTCGGTAGGTGTCACGGGCTACGCCCATGCGGCTTTTGATTCTCTGTGGTTGTGCGTCTAAAAAAACAACTAAATAATACAAAAAATAAAACACAGACTCACTCGCTACGAAACTAATCTGCAAGTTAACCCGAACATGGCGCATTCACTTTAAAAAATTTTCACAAGAACTCTGATTAATATTTGCCAGACTTTTATTAAATTATTTTTTATTTTGGAGAAATTTTTAGGCTTGTACCATTATTTTAAATTAATCACAGATTAGTAATACTAAAAGATTTAAAATATCTGTGATTCATATGTTTTTGTAGTGACAATAACTCACCAAAAACCACACTTTCCATGAGTAATCCTTAAAGATCCAATATGCTATTCAATAGATACATTTTTCCCGCTGTGCCCTCAGATACTTTTAGACACACATGTAGACATAGAAAAGCAATTTGTTTGCGGCTCTCACTATTGTTGCATGATTATTGTTTGTTTGGATGCGTCTGGTTCCCAACAGAATCGCGGATCGAGTCTCAGTCCCTGGCTGGCCCCAGTTTCCCCGGTGCTTCCTCCATATCTTTGTCACACTTTTTTCCAGCAGCCCTTGAATGGCTGAGTCTGTTGTGTGAGTCTGTCCTTGCGGTGTATTTAACCTGTCTGCTTGTTGGATTACGACAACCAACCCACAGACATCCGGCAAAGAGTGAGTAGACAGGGGGATGGGACTAACAAAACAGGCAACAAAACATGTATCTATTCATATGCCACTTTGTGCCACAAGGGGTGGCACAAACACTGGAGTGGGCTAGGGGATAGGGTGGGGTTTTTGGGGTTAGGAGCATGTCGGGTAATGCAATACGCATGCAACGAGACCACAGAGCCCCAGATCCAGACTTGCCACTGTGTTAGCAGACATTTTAACGCTTATTTTACTTTTGGCCACGCACACCCACACACATCCACGAGCTCACAAACAAAAGTGTTCACCCCCAAGTGTTGGCTCACACCGCAATGTTCACACTTATTTGCCTTCACACTCAGCTCAATTGCATTTTACGTTAATATAAAAAGTAGGTTTCACTTTTAAAAGAGATCCGATGAATTTAATACATCACACTTACTATTTTATGTAACATTCTAGGGAATGTTTGACTTACTTATTTTAAATTAGTTCAGGCTTTTCAAAAAATGTTGGGACTCTAAAACATTACTACACACACAGTTCGTGGCGAGCCCTAAAATTGAGGCTCGAGTTCATCGCTTCAACCTTCCAAATCCGTTCTTTAGATTCGTAGTACATTTGAAGAAAGTCTCGAAAGATGTCGTGCACAAAGTAAATCCAAAACAAGCCTTTAAAGAATTTCAATTAAATTATTTTTGTATAGGTTCATTAACCTAAATATTCTTACCTGCAATGATGTGCATATATGGCAAAAATGATTCTGGTTTACTTGGAACTACCCATAAGTAGACACAAGACCTAAAGATGATCGTATAGATAAATATCACAGAAGATCCCAGCCAGGGCAAAAAAAGACAATGATTATCCTTCGTAAAGAAACAGATAAGACACATGTGTTTACAATTTTTTTCAATAATTCAAATCTTACTATCAAGGAGCCGATGAAAAGAAAGATTCCTCCGATGATCTGCAATACGCATATAAGTTCCCAAGATATTATTTCCGACTTTTGAAAGGGGTCTTCCCAAGCTGGAGCTACTAAGTAAATTAACGTTGATATTATAATAACAAGGCAGGCGATGACTACCCGAAAGACTTCTGGCTTAAGCGATGGGATCATTTTTATTTCCGCCGAACGCGACGAAGAGTTCACAACAAACTAAAAAAAGCTTGGGCTTCAAACCCCCTAGAGCCAGCCGTTCTTATCGCTCATAAGCTTTAAATATAAATAAATACTAAATAGTGTTACTCAATTTTTTTCACAGATAAAAATGTATATACAGAGCAGTTGCTAAACTGGGGTCACCCCATATTATTCACAATGTCCAATACTTATAATTCAAGACTGTAATTAGATGCCAATACTGCTGGAAGTTCTTATCTATAGATTTTCAATTCTAATCTTATCTATTTTTAAAGTTTGATTGACTTACAATAGATCTTTAATATTTTTACGATACCTTTAAGAGTGCAGAAGATATATCCCCAGAGGGTGACGGCGCTGGATGTTCGTCTTAAGTAGCTAAAGCATTTCGCGTAAATTAGCCAAGTGTAGACTTCATTAAGTTGGGCCAGTAAATTAAGTGCTAATGTCGAAAGTTTTGACCGACAAAGTGCGCCATGAAATGCTGTAGTTGTTGTGCCTGATATTTTTGCAGCACTCTTGTGGCGGAAACAGCCAGCGGCAGCAGCAAAAGCAAAAGCACTGTACCTCATCCTCGTCCTCATTCCTTTCGGTTTATCCAAAGCAATAGCAACACCAACCGCAGCAACAACAGGACGAACAGCAACAATCCAGACCAGGAATGAAGGATTCGTTTATTATTCAGTCGAACTTGGAAATGCCCTTTTAATAATTCTAAGAAGCTCAAGTATCAAAGAGTATATCATGTCGGTTCTATATTATTTTTTTTTTGGAAATTTAACTATTTTTGTTTAAAAATTTAATTTTCCCAAAATTGCTCGGAATCCTTGGGTAAGGAATCAGCAACAATCCTTGGAAGAGTAAAGGGACGCTAAATTGATGATGTAGACCAGCGGAACGAAAATTGCACTCACTTTCCCCCGAAATCACCTTGCCCGTTCCCCCTAAGGGGGCAGGCAGCCTCCAACCTCCCAGCTCTCCTTTTTTGGTAAAGAGTCTGAAAATTTTTAATGCTTTAATCTTGATGCTAATAAATCTTGAAGTTCCCCTGGCACTTTCACATTACTTTTAGACGAAAAAGGGTTTCCCAGAGGCGGTGGCAGATACAATTAGACAGCTGCACACTTAACGTTCTTAGTTTAAGCCAATTTGAATGCACTTTGCCATTTTGCCTGAACTCCCAACTGGCCGCCCAGCCCAGCTCCGTGCAGCCCAACTACCTTCAGGGTAATTGCAACTGACACTTGAGGCGAATGGTTTGCTAACATCGCCTCTAATCGAATTTGGAGCTGTTTGGTGCGTGCGGCATGGCTATTGATTAACCCTACCAGTTTACTCAAGTGCAGAGTGAGAAAAGTTTTGCTGTTTTTTTTTAGTATGAGCCTGAAACGTGTTCTTGAAAAAAAGGAGCCTTAGGCTTTAGTCTTTAGGCTTTTTGATATCCAATTTATTAACAAATATTACAAAATTTTTCCTTGTGCAAATATCAATCATACAACAACCCTCTAAGCCTGGGAGAAAACTGGCAGCATAATTTGCCTGAGAAAAGTTCGCCACAATGTCATCAGCGGCACTTGCCAGTTGACAGTTCTGTGGTTGCCAGGCGGGTTAAAGGGGCGGAGGTGAAAGTGGTAAGCCTGGTAAGCTTGGAGAGAGAAAAGTGGTTGTGACACACAACTGTCAGAATGTCGTGTGACAAATTTTTGTTATTAGACGATGGCAAGAAGCCCACCGACTTTCTGCCGCCCAGTCCTGCCGCTCCAATCCCACAATTTCGATTTTATTAACTCGAAATTTATGGCCAGCCATTAGGCGAGACAAATTAATCAAAAGTATTCCTGTTCCTTGTCGCTCCGTCCTTTTTTTCCTTTTTTATTTCCATGTACATAAATTTGTATTTAAAAATGAGTTAGAAGCGGAGCTTACCACCAGCAACTTTGGCTCAATTTCACGCCATCTCAAGTCGCAGCTCCTCACTTTCTCCGCACCTGCCAAATGCCAAATGGATCCCATTTCTCTTCGCCGCCCGAGACTTTTCTTATTATGTAAGAATTTGTCATTTCCTCAAGCACGAGCCCGGCTGAAATGCAATTTAACTGCTGCCGGATAGCGAAAAGGAATTTTAATGTTCTCGTTTTTAATGGGGAAACATTAAAGCGCCAGCCCAGCAAGTAAAACAAACTTGATGTCTTCTGGAGAGTCACCTTCCCTCCACCGTCCCATCTCTTCATCAAATCCTGTGCTTTTATTTTTTTTGTATTTATTATTGTCCAGAAAAAAGCAGCATATGTTGACCACTCACTGGGTGAGCAGAAGAGGGAGACTGGCACCAACAAACAAATAGAAAAAAAAAGTGCAAAAATATGTTGCACATAAATTTGTATTAAGTTTGGCCCGCTGTCACTTTTTCTTCGGCCGCCTAAGCAATGCGGGCAGACAGCATAACGACATAATCATAAATTTAAATATGCAACCCAGAGTCCTGCCCCTTCGCACTTAACATCTTTTGCCAAAAAAAAACTGGGGAATGAAAAGCGGCAGAGTAGAAAAAAGTAGCAAACAGCAGTGCAAAGGAAAACCTTGCCAGTGACAGTTTCACTTTGTCTGGCATAAGGAATTTCCCCCGGCTTGGCAGTCACACATGTTGCCCCCAGCTTTATGCGTCTTAAATAGAGTTGTTTTTCAGCCAGGAATTTCCAAGATGGTAATGCCTTTCCATTGGGAAAAGGTCTTTATAAGCTCCCCCTCCATGCAGGGGTTACAATGCAACCCCAAAGAGGCAAGTAGTTTACTTCAATTCTTAGTGCATTGATTTTTAATACAGGATACATAAAATCCCTTAAAAGGAAACTGTACCAATTAAAAGCGATTAATAATTAAATATTCAATCAGTGTCCTAGGTGACATTTCTAACCCAAATTGCCCATGTTTTGGGCCACATTGGCACCATTACGATATTCCCAGTTCAATCAAGTAATTTCCAGCGATTTGCCAAGGAAAAATTCTCTAGAAAGTATGGGGGAAATGGACACCTGGGCACCCTTTCCACCCCAACACCCCTGTCAACCCCAGGAAAACCAGCAGCCCCAAATCTGATGCAAACATTTTCGAGTAATCCGAGTGAGGAGGACCGAGACAGAAAGGACAAATAAAATGTTTCGCAAGGCAAACTATGGGCCAACAATGGATTTGGGACAACTAGGGAACAACATCCAAACAAAAAAAAAGAGGTAGCCCCAAAGGAGAGACATTAGTTTATTAGAGGATGTGAGAAGCTTTAATGCCCGAAACCCAAACAAGAGATATATGGTAAACAGAGACGAGGAGGATTTCCCTGAAAATGCATGTTTGTTTGTTTAAAACTAAAAATAAAAAAAAAGAGAAATCTATTTAAATGGTGAAAAGTTGGGGAGTCCTCGTGTTGGACATGGAAGGTGCTTCCGGATCAAGGATATAGGCAAATAATGTTTGTAAACAATTTTTATTGCTTTCTGGTTGAGAAGTCCCGCCCTCGCATTTGCTGGCCCTCGCAAAAGTAAAAGTTGTTGATAGAAATCACAGAACATAAACACAGAGAGAAGTAGAGATGCCATAGAACGATATATAGATGAAGATATCTGTGTACACAATAACATAAATTGCAAAATGTGACAAAAGGGTTGTCCTTTGGTCTCATCCCCCGATGTTGAGTGGGTCAGCAGCCCGAGGAATATAAATAACAAAGGCTGGAAACAGCGGCAGAGACATTTCTACCCGAACTTCTGTCGATGACATCAGCAAACATTCGAAGAAATTGAAAAACCAATCCGTGCCGGCCACATACACATACTCTAACATGAGACTACTCTATACTCCCCCACCCCTTCGCTCAGCAGCCACAAAAGATGGCCAAAACCAAAAGACAGCGCCAAAACCAGCCAACCGATGCGCCAGCAAAGTTAAGACTTTAAACTTTAAGCTTCTGGGCGGATATTCCAAAAAGGAAAAGGGCTCGAGAGGGAGGCGGTGTGGCTTAAACCTCCGGCACACACTCACACACACGCACACCTTTTTGGCCAAAATGTAGACGAGGAGGAAATTGCTTGCCTTTCCCAACTAAAACTTGGGGAAATTATGAAATTCATACAGGAAGACAATTTTCTCCAACATCTAATTCGGTTGCAGCAAATTCGGCTAAATTACAGTGAAGCCTGGATAGCATGGAAGCTATTGGTAGTAGTAATTTGCGTTAGTTCTAAAATACAGACTAAACACTAAGACTGTCTAGGTACATCCTAGCCAGGATCGCCTGTAAAAGCTACATAACTGCAGCTCGAAATTTGTTTGCGGTCTTAGCCATAAGTTTGTCCGTCGACAGGCAACTTGTGGCGGCTCCTGGCTGTTGGCTGCTGCTCCTTGCCAGCTTTTGACTTCTGACAGGAGTAGCTATCCAATCCAATCCCGGCTGCGTTTCGTTTGCCTCGCCGCCCGGGGATTCCCTGCGCGCATCCTTTGGAAGGCCCTTGCCGAGAACGCACTTCAGGGACTCTGTTGAAGTGCTCAAGAGCTCAGCTCACGCTATTTATATATTTCACATCCATTTATAGCCGGACTCTATGCGAAAAGCTCTCCATTTGAGTGAAACTAAGTCCCAAATACCATCGAAAGGATAACCAAAGTTCGTTGTGGGTTCGTTCAATTGGCCCTGGCAGTTGCAGTTTTGTGGCAGTTTTGACGGAAATCCTTTACCGCTCGCCTTCCGCAATCCTGACCAATTCGTTTGGCTTTATTTAAGTTGCAATTTGCCAACAACTGATAGGTAGCCAACCGCCAGTTGGCCAAGCTCTGACATCTTGACTTTCATTAAGATTCTGCATATTTGGCAAAGTCTCGGGTCTCTGTCTCGGTTCCAGTTAGAGTTTTGTATTCACAGATTGTCCTAGTCACTGGCAACAGGTTTAAGGGGGGAAATACAATTAAAAGGCCCAAAATGAGGCCTATCTTTGGGAGTGAATTGCAAGTAG